CCTTCCCAGGTCTCTCTTCTCCACAGCAGCTGTACCCTTCCAACCGCCCGCTGCAGCCTAGGCTGTGCCAGTGGGCCTTGGGGACAGCTGGGTGGCCCACGGGCACCACCTGGAGGATGTAGGAACCTGAGGACTCGGCTGCATCTCCCTGCCCCGCCTCCCCCGGGCCTCAGCCTCCTCTGGGCAGCAGAGGCAAGGGTCCAAGTGATGCCAGTGGCCCTCTTCTGTCCCAGAGGTCCTCAGGGGGCAGCTGTCAGCCAGCCCCTCCAAGTCTGTGCACCCGCAACCCCTCTTGCCACAGGTCCCCTGAGCCTTTCACCTGGGATGCAATTAAGAGGACATTTTGGGGCTTGTGCTTGACGCAAATGAGAAACGGGAAAGGATGATGTTATGAAGTCATAACTGCTGATCCACGTTTCTGAGAACCAGAGCACCAGAAGCCAAGGAACAGCCCTACCCGGTCATATGAATCTGGCAACGACAGGGGCACCCCAACCCACCCATCACTTCCTGGTGCAGGCAGCTATGTGGGTGCATCCACCAGGTGGGAGAGGAAGGAGTCAGGCCTGGCGGAGCAGCAGCCATCTCCCTCCCGAGCAGACTCCAGCTACCAGGAGAGACTGCTCCCCACGCTCGTCAGCTCCCGACACCACAGCTGTGGCCCAAGCAAGGACTGCGACAGGGGATGAGCCACAGGACTCCAGTTCCACACATGTCTCTGTTTTATTATGGCAAAGGTGAAAACGCCACCTTCCCCACAACGGCAACCGGTAACATTTATCCCAAAAATAACTCGGTACAAAACAGGGCTGCTTCAGAATTTAAAAAAAAAGAAAAAAAGGAAAAAAAAAAAAAAACCTTTACATGAGTTTTTAAATCCTATCTTAAAACATAAAAGAAACAAATCCATCATTGGCTGCACAGCTCCCAGTCCACCGCCCCCTCCCGCCAGGGAGCACGGAGGAGACATCTGGGTCCTGCTCCACTTGAGGATCTGCCGGTCTCTTTAGCTGGTGTCCATCTGAAACACACAGAAGCTTCCGCTCAACAAGAGCCCTCACGCTTCCAGTCAATTCCTGCCCTCCCTAACCCTCGTCTGGGACTTACTCTCGCATTATAAGCATCCAGCTGGGCATCCAACTCCTCTGCAGAAAGCTGCTGCTTCGAACTCCTGCCAGTGCCTCGACCTCTGCCCCGGCTCCCTCCACGAGTGCCTCTCCTGGTGCCGCTGCCACCACCGAAACCTCCGGAGCCACGGTTTCTAGTCATCCCACCTCTGTTTACGCTGCCAAGGAGAGGGGACTCACTCACGTGATGTTCAAAGGCCCATGGGGTGAGCGCCCACTTACCACAGATCAGCACCGTCCCAAAGGCCCCAGAACTCACCTCTGCGCGGGTCTCCGCTGTGTGTCAATCTGTGACGTGACGAGCTGAATGTTCATGGGGCGGCCTGTGGCAAAGAATACAAGAGGACACGTGCAGTTAGAGGGCTTGAAACGCGCCGAGGGGCACCACACCCCGGTCTCCATGCAAGCACTGGAAAGGGGCTGTGTCTCCAAATGCTCCCGACAAGGGGAGTGGCCGAGCACTACTGGTGGGAGAACGAGATGGTGCCAATGACAACCCCACCAAAACCTCCTCGCTCCTTCTCAGTCCAGTTAGCTGGGTGTCTGGTCAGGTGTCCGGGGTGCTCATGGGTGGAAAGGTGTGGGTGGCCTGACGGAAGAAGAACCGGTACCTTTGTCTTTACGACTACAGCCCCGCACTCAGAGGTGTACTATGGCGGTTCTGAGAAGGCTTCACAGAAGTGAGTCTTCCGGAAGGAGCTGAAGGAGGGGAGGGTGTAGCTTGCTGGATGGGGGTTCACAAGAGGTTGGTCCGGATGTGTGGGGCAGCATGAGAGGTGGCGGAATGGAAGAGAGAGACAAAGGGGCGAATGCAAAGTGTCCTCAGCCACAGGGGTAAGCCATACTCCTGCACGGATAGCGGCCAGCCCGACTCCACGAGACGCAGCCCCTCTAGCATCCGGGTCCAACCTCAGACGCACCATCCAGAGGGACGCCGTTGTACTGTTTCATAGCTTTCAGGGCATCTGCCTTCCGTTCAAAGTGCACATCGGCTGTTCCTAAACTGCGCCCGGAGCGGTCATAGTGTACAGCTGCCTTCTTCAGAGTTCCGAATTCAGCAAAGAGTTCCTGGGGGCCAGAAAGAGCAGCTGTTAGTGAGGTGCTTCCCTTCAGGTGGCCCAGGACAGTCCCTGGGAGGGTGAGCTGCTTGGGGGGGGGGGGGTTTATTTCCCTGGGAGGCAGACACGTATGGGGGCAGGGCAGTGGTAGTGGAAACCACAGGGAGGGAGGGGCAGATGGGACAGCCACTTCCCGGAGCAGCTGGGTCTGAGGGCTCCTGCCAGTGTGGGGACCTTACATCAGTACCAGGATGCAGGTAAAGGACCACAGAGCCCACCAGTGAAGGGAACAAGATTAAGTTGCTATCTTCTTCAACAGAGGAAAACTGACAACACACCCAAGGACTGTACCAAGAAACCGCAAAGGCCAAGATCACAGAGCAAGGGATGCTATCCGACAAGTGGACCAGCTCACAGGGCCCGGAGATTCGGGAGCCCTGACCCAGCCCCTCCCCCAGGGCAGATTCTGGCTCACCTTTCCCTCTCCTCCTACTCAAGCCTGCCGCAAAGGCTGAAGTCAAGCGCTGCCATGGAAACTGCCCTGACCTCAGGCAGGCTGGGAGTTGGAGAGGGAACCCAGAGTGTGGGGCTACTCCGGCCGCAGGCACACAGCGGGAAGTGGAGTTCACCAAAAGCGGTTTCCAGTGGATGCCAGAAACCACCTTAAAAAAAGTGTTGAGACACCGTGAGTGCTCACCGGCCTTGCTCTGTCCTCCCACGGTAGTCAAACAGCTGGGCTCTGGGAAGTTGAACCCAGGAAGGCCCAGCACCCTGACCCAGCCATCTCTGGGACTGATCCCCAAAATGTCTTTACTTAATCAAAAAACAAGTTTATATGCCTTTGGAATCCTAACAAACAGAACAAAAACACCCCCAAAAAACCAAAACCAAAAGACCCCAAAAAAACAAAACAACAACGACAACAGCAACAAAAAGAAAACAAAGAAAAAACAAAGAAGCTTCAACCAAAGTCGAGATTGAGAATCATGCCACTAAAAAGACGGGGGTGAGGGGTGGGGGGGGTGGGACAGGGTGTAGGTCCTGTACGACATGGAGCCGGGGGCTCAAGGCCAGCGGAGCAAAAGCATGCCCAGCGCCGCCCTGCGTCTGTGCTTTGCCCGTAGGCTTCCACAGAAAAAGATCTCTGTCCTCCCAGCAAACCGTTAAAAGAAGTACAAAGTAAACAAAACGCAGATCCTAAGCGAGGCAGGAACAGAGACCGCTCGGGTTGGGCCGAGGTTTCCCGCCAAGAGCGAGGGCTCCGGCAGGGGGTTCGCGCCCGCGCGCGGGGCACGACTCAGGAAGAGCGGCCGCTCGTCCCGCTAGGCCGGGCCCGACCTCCGACACCCCGACCTGCCGGCCGCACTTCCCGGGCCAGGACCTCCGCCCTGCACTCCCGCAGCCCTTAGAGGGCCGGCGGCTGCCCCTGGGCCCCGAGGGCTCCCCGCCCTAAGGTGCGGCGCGCGCGGTCCAGGCCGCGTCCTCAACGGGGCCACCGGGTGCGGGTGACCCGCTCAGCGACGAACGCGCGCCCCTCACCTGAATATCCGCGTCCGACACTCCGAAATCCAGGTTGGACACCAGCAGTTTCCCGCCCGTCTCCACGCCGGCGCCGCCCCCGAAGCCGCTGTCGAAGAGGTCGTGCTGCCACTTGTCGGGGAGTTGTTTCGGCTGCGGGGGGAGGGCACAGGAGCACGCGGCCCGTGAGCGTCTCCCGCGGACCCTGCGGCGCCCGCACGCCCCCGCCCGCCGCCCCCCCCCCCCCCCCGGCGTCCCGGGCGCCGCCGCTCCCTCCGACCCGCTTCCCGCCGCCCGCGCGGCCGCGCCCAACGCCCGCCGCCCGCCGCCGCCACGAGGCCCGGCGCCCGGCCCAGACAAAGGCCGGGAGGGGCTCCGCCGCCCCGGGCGGCCGCCGCGCGCCCCCCCCGCCCGCCCGGCCCGCGCCCCCCGGCCCGCCGCCCGCGCCCCCGCGCGCCCCCGCGCGCCCCCGCCCGCCGGCCCGCCGCCCCGCTCACCCTGCTGTAGGGCGCCGGCCGGTTCCTGCCGCCGCCGCCCGCCGCGCCGCGGGCGAGGGCCGGTCGGTTCCGGATGGGCCCGCCGCCCCGGCTCACTCGCGCGGCGGCCTGCGCCCCGCCGCCGCGGCCGCCCTGGGAGCCGGCCCGGCCGCGGCCCCGACCTCCGCCGCGGCCGCCTCGCTGGCTCCGGTTCAGCTTGATGATGTCGTCCAGAGACATGTCCATTTTGTCGGCCATGGCGGGCGCGGAGTCGGCCTCGGCTCGAGCCCGCGCGTCAGCACGTCGGCGCGTCACTTCCGGGGCCGCGCGCGGCCTGCCGGGACCGAGGCCGGGGCCGCCGGGGATTGGCCGCGGCGGGCGGGAGCGGGCGCGGGCGGGGCGGGGGCGCGTGCGCCGGACGGCGGGCTCGGCGGGCGCAGCTGAGGTGCCGGCGGCGGCCGCGGCCGCTTTTATACCTTCCCGCGCGGGCGCCGCCAACGGAAGGCGGGGTCGGCGCGCGGAGGCCGGCGGGGGGCGCGGTGGGCGGGGCCGCGGGGCGGGGCGGGGCGGGCGGGCTCCCCTCCCCCTCCCCCTCCCCCTCCCCGCGCCCCGGCCTCGCGCCCTCTCCGCGCCCCCGCGCCTCCCCCACCCCTTCCCGCGCCTCCCTCCGCACCCCTGCGCCTCCCCCTGCCCTCTCCCCGCACCCGGGCGCCTTCCCCACCCACTTCAGGCGCCCCTGCTCCTTACCCCACCCTCTCCCCACACCCCTGCGCCTTCCCCTACTCTCCGCCGCACCCCTGCGCCTTCCGCTCCGCCCTTCCCCCCCACCCCACCGCCTCCCCACATCCCACCCTCCACACACACCCTGGTCCCTCCCTGCACCTCAGTTTCTCCCCTGCCTCTGCGCACTCCTGGATGCTCCTGCCGTCACCCCTTCCCCCCAAGCCCGGGTCCTGCCCGGCACCCCCCACTCTGCACCCTCGCCCCGGGGTGGTGGCGCAGGCCTAGTGGGCTGGGTGGTGGTTCCCTGGCGTGACCTCGTGGTCACCCGGGTTGGGGTCTCTATTTGTCAACCCCGATTTAGTCGTACCTCTTTGAGAAACCCCCGTATGGTACGTTTTTGCAATTACTGGCGGAAGCCCCCGTGCCCTTTTGGGGACGCAGGACGGACCCTGCAGTCTTCGCCGATAACTCTGGTTCTGGGGCGCACTGTTCTCCCAAGGGTGGCCCGGGGCCTGCCCTTGCCGCCGGTGCAGAGCTCTCAGGGTTTCTGAGCTCTGGCAGCAGGTCCGGCCCGGGCTGACCCTAGGCTCGGAGCCGCGCCCCTTGGGTGCCTAGATGCCTAGCTGCGTGGACTGAGTGTGGCCCCGCGATGTCTCCTCCCCCTGTAGGCTCCGCGGCCATGAAGGTGAAGATCAAGTGCTGGAACGGCGTGGCTACTTGGCTCTGGGTGGCCAACGACGAGAACTGTGGCATCTGCCGGATGGCCTTTAATGGCTGCTGCCCGGACTGTGAGTGTGCCCTGTGCTCCCTCCCCCTCGAGCTTTGCCTGCGGGCCTGGCCAGGGCGTCTCCTCGGAAACACCCGCGCAAGGTGCTTGGGTTTTGGGACCGCTCTGCTCAACACAAGCTGTCAGAAGAAAGGCAGTTGGTTCGGGCCCATGATTGTGTGAGGAGCCCATGGAAAGTTCTGTAAGAGAGGGCGTGTGGCTTTTTACTGTGCTCACAGTCAGCCGTGACGCCCGCGGGCCAGGGGACGCTGGAGCACCGCGGGACGATTCTCCAGCGGGCACGCAGGCTGTCGCGGGGGTGCCCGTCCCCTCGGCCAGCGCCCACCGTCGCAGCGCTAAGGGCCTGTGTTCGCGTCCTGGCTTGGAAGTGGCTTCCGGGGCCCGGCTCCCCTCCAGCCCAGTCGCTAAGTGTAGCGCCGTCACACCGGACGTGACGATAAGCCCTCGGTGTCCCCCCATTCCTGGTGCTTGCTCACGTTGTCTCAGGTGTCCGTGCGTGTGCTCGCTCAGCCCTGCCCTGGCTGTTGAACGTGAATATAGAACAGGCGCTTCCACTCCTCTCCCTCGTTTTTCAAGGCATCTGACCTTTCAGCAAAGTGGTTGTGTCACGCCACAGAGTGTCCACCGCCAGGTTTTATCAGACCTCTCTGGTGGTTTTTGTCTCACCTCTGTCCCATCACGTTCTGGTGAAGTAGAAATGCTTGAGTGTATTTTCTTGTTTTATTTTTGCTTGAGTGTATTTTTAAGTCAAAAACAGGCTTTTGCACCAGCGAATTGTGTTTTTAGCCAAACCAAAGTGAACTTAAGCAGAAGCAGGTTGACCCTTGGGGGGACAGGGGCAGTCCCAAGAGGAAAATGGGACCTGGGGGGACTGAGGGGCCCCTCTGGCCCGTAAGTGACCAGGCTTTTTGTGGGGTCAGGAGAGTGCCCAGAATAACAACCGGGCTTTGCATCTTACAGTGAAATTCAAATTATCGAGTTTTAGTGCAAATACTATTTTGTTATGGGCTTGATCTTTACTTTGGCCGAGAGAAAATCTCATCTCCCAGGACTTAATCCATCCTGATTGGATCAGTCAGGTGGGATGTGACCGTAGGAAGTCACTGATTGGCTCTACTTGATTAAGTTTTACTTAGCAGTAAAGCTCACGATCTGGTTTTACTGATTCTGTTTTAATCACGCTCAGGTGCGTCCTTAGGGACACAGCAGAGGCAGTGGGAGCCTGCAGGGGCGCACACTTGCAGCTTCTTGAGCCACAGATTGTTAGCTTCTGGAAAGAGAAGTCCTGGAAAGCATTGCCCTAGACTGGACGTGGGAGCGTCAGCGGTGTGTTGGCGCTGGCGCGGAGCCTGCGGAGCCCAGCTGGTGCTGTTGCAGCTGGGCCTGTGGCTGGCATCCCTGTGTTTGCCGGGGTGCTCAGGTCTTGTGGAAGGGGAACCCGTTGGCTGAGAGTAGGGGGCTTGGAGCTTCATCTTCAGAGCCAATCCTACCGTGCAGAGTGTCTGACGAGCCTTCATACAGGTGAAGTGACACTGGGTTCCTCTTGCTAAAATTGAGCTCTTGTGAAATACCCTGAGTGACGAAGACTAATAATCTGCTCCCAGGCCCAGAGGGCTTTGGGAGTAAGTCTTCTCGAGAGGTGTTTTCGTTACTAAAGATTTCCATCGAGACGCAAACAAGCCTTTGGGTGAGTCACCGCTTTGTGCTCCCGTGTTCGTCACATGCCTCGGGTGGCCCTGCCTGCAGGTAGCATTACTGGAAGTGGCTCCTTCTCCTAACAAGCCTCCCTCAGAAGGACCAAGTGGCCTGGGTACAACCCCATCAGTGGGACACCTGGGCATCCCTTGCCCCCCACCAGTGTGTCCTCTGTTCACAGGGGACTCTGGTTTCATAGGTGTGATTCCTTTATTTTTTTTTTAAGATTCTTTATTTTGTTTCTTTGACACACACAGAGAGAGAGAGAGAGGGCGCGCGCGCGCGCCAGCGAGCCAGCACGGCACAAGCAGGGGGAGTAGCAGAGGGAGAGGCAGGCTCCCCGCTGAGCAGGAAGCCCGTTCCCAGGACTTTGGGGTCATGACCTGAGCTGAAGGCAGCCGCCTTAGCCACTGAGTGCCCCCCCCCTCCACTCCAGCCACCTCATAGTGGTGATTCCAAGCTGAGTTCTGGGCTTGGGAAGGCCCTGGGGGTGGGGGGTGGGGGATGTAATCTCAGGTGTCACATGGCTCCCAGCACAGGGTCCCACCCCTTCACCCCGCCCCTGTGGCTGCGGAAGCAGAGTGAGTGCGGTAGTTCTTTTTTTTGCCAAGTGTATAATTTTTGGTGGTTCGTCATAAAAGTTCCAGAAAGGTAGTGATGTTTTCTTGTAAAAAGTTTTTTTTAAAAGGCTGAAAAACACTACCCCAAAGCAAGCAACTAAAAAGACGTGGCGGATGTGTGTTCTGATTTGGTGGGATGCGGTCACTGCTGTGGGGCAGGGGCTGCTCTGGGGAGATTGGCCCAGAGCTTGGCAGCTTCCCAGCCCCAGGCCAGTGAGGAGCAGGTGCCAGGAGGGAGCTTTATGTCGTCTGGTGTTTTGCAGGACTGAGCATCCTGTGTTTGGTGTCAGGAGTAAGGACTGTGGTCAGAGAGGCCCAAAGGCAGTCTGGGTTTCCTGCAGAGCACCCAGCTTGCATTTAGGATGTGCTGAAGTGGAGCTGCTGCCGGGACAAGATGTCCTGATAGTCCTGGCCCTGGCTTGTCTGTCTGGTTCCTGCTGTTTGTACACCAGTGACAGCTGGATACAGCTGGCGCTCAGCAGGCGTAGAGGACCCCAGGGCAGTGATGGGGGTGACACCCCAGGAAAGGTGGAGGCGGCAAGCCACAGCACCTCCATGCCCATGGGGACCCTGGCACGGGGCCTGAGGGAGGTCGTTATGCTCTGTTGGCGCCAGCTGTTTGATGGGATGTTCTTGGTTCTGGAAGTCGTGTTTCTTATGGTTGCGGGCAGCGTGGATGTCCCCTGTAGGCATCCACGGAGGTCGCATTTCCAGGCACGTGGAGTGGAGTGTGAGCAGCATGAGCCCTGGGCCTTGGTGGTGGGGCCCCTTCAGGCCAGAAATGGGAGAGGTGGGAGGTCACACCTGCTTGCGGGCTGCTCCGGGTGGGGCCACAAGCGCCACTCCCTTGTCTCGTGCTGGGTCTCTGCCACCTGGGAGAGAAACCTCAGCCCCAGGGCCCCAGCTGTCCTTCCCTTGAGCAGAAGAAATAGTTCCCTCTTCAGACAGCAGCTCTTGGGCGCGGGGGCGGGGGGGGGGGGGGCTGCACCTAGCACATGTGCTGTACCTCCCCTGTCGCAGGTTCAGTGGTGGGGCTGTGGTGGGTCTGCAGCTGGGCCTGCACCCCGGGCGGGGGGGCGGGGGGATGGGGATGTGGGCTGGGCGAGAACCCCCCCTGCAGTCGAGCACCCCTTGCAGGGCAGAGCGTGTGCTCACACTCCTGGTTTCTGTCTTTCCTGAAACACAAGGTGTGAGGCTGTGCACACGAGCCCCCCGGGGCAGCCGTCTGGCGCACAGGTGCCTGACATCCTTGGGTCCTGGTCCCCTGCTCGGTGTGACCTGCTGGTCCTCTCGTCCCCCCTCCCGCAGGCAAGGTGCCGGGCGATGACTGCCCCCTGGTGTGGGGCCAGTGCTCCCACTGCTTCCACATGCACTGCATCCTCAAGTGGCTCAATGCGCAGCAGGTGCAGCAGCACTGTCCCATGTGCCGCCAGGAGTGGAAGTTCAAGGAGTGAGGCCACCCTGTGCCAGCACCCGCCTCACCCCCGCCGCCCGCTGGCCCGCCGCCCTCTCCCCTGGCGACAGCCCCTCCGGTGGCGGTGGGGACACACTTGAAACAAGGACTGGAGCTGTATTTGTTTTCCTTCAGATTGTGACACTTTTATCCAATAAGTAAAACTCATTAAATTGTCTGAACCTTGCTGGAGGCCTCTGCTCGCCTGTTTTCTGGTCCCGATGCAGCGTCACAGTGTGTTGATAGGAAAACTCATGAATAAACATCTCGATGCGATGCCACCAAGGCTCTGAGTCACAGCCGCAGAAGGAGCGGACGGTCAGCCGGAAGAGCCTGGGGGCGAGTGACTGGCTCTGGGGGTTTGGAAGGCCTGTGGTGCAAGGGCCCTGGGGCACGTGTATTTACTCAGGGGGCTGGCCTCCTGGTCGGCCACCTCTGTGGCACCCTACTTCGTGTCTGGACACTGCCCAGAGGGAAGAAAGCCCCAGGGACCATTACCCTTCCCCAATCTGGAGGCCACACGCCCTGTGTCCAGACACCCAGCTGCCAGGGCCTCTGTGCCAGTGTCTGCCCTGGGGAGGACGTACCCCAAGGGAGATGGGTTTGTGACCAGGATGTGTAGGAACAGTGAGTGGAAGGAGGGGTGCCTGAGGGCCCAGATCCCCCAGCAGCCCCTCCTGGGTGCTCTCAGCAGCCCCACAAACAAAGTTACATCCGCAAACAAGCTTACACCGGCTGCAGGGTTGGGCCAGCTACTCTGTATTCTTGAATGTTTGTGTCTACACTGTCAGGACCCGGGGAGTCACAGGGAGGGCTCTGCAGCCCACTCCCCCTGCCTGGGGGGGGGGTCTCCTGGGGTGTCAGACCCTGAGGGCAGTCGCACCCGCCTTCCAGCCCTGCCCTGTGGGGTGGGTGTGCTCGTCCCCAGAGGGGCTGCCCACGGCCCCTCCTGTAGGCTGCGTGCAGTGCCCTGCCACCCCGGCTCTCGCACTGTTTCCCGGGCCCCAGTGTGGTCCTCGCAGGGCCTGCCTGGCCTCAAGCCGACCATGGGGCCACCCGCCAGGTCCTGTCCTCCCCCGGCCAGGGATCCCCCCAGGAAGCTCAGGGCCCCTGCGAGGTCCTCTCAGGCCTCCGGGACCTCAGCCGGCCCCCCCTCCTCCCGGACGCTGAGGCTCGGAGCACCTGCCTTCGCCGTCACTCTCCCCTGGCTGCCCCCCAGCCGCCCCCGCTCCGGCTCTGGAGCTCTGCTTTCCCAGTTGCTGTGGTTTGAGTCCCGGACGGGCTGATCCCTCCTGGGGGCCACAGGTGCTCGCACGAGAAGGCCTGAGGCTCCCCCGCCCGAGGGCAGGGAGTGGGGGGCTGGGGGGCCTGGCAGCTGTCCCTCCGCCTGCTCTCCCGAGCTCAGGCCTGGCCTTGCTGCCCACCTCTTCCCAAAGGACCCCCAGGAGCAGCCCTGCGTGTGCAGCAGAGCAAGGCCCCGGGCGCACGCGACAGCCGTGTCGCCTCCACTCGGGCTCGGGCCCGGGGTCCCGCTTTAGGGCCCGAGCGGTGTCCCCCGGCACTGCCGTCTCCCCCGCCTGGGGGCAGTGAGGCCCTATGGGGCGCGGCGGGGCCCCCCCACCCAGCGGGCTCCCTGGGCGGGAGGGGGCCCGACGGCGCTGCGCGCCCGCCCCCGCGCCCGCGCCCGCGGCAGATATAAGGCGGCCGCCGCCGAGCCCGCCGCCCCGCGCCCGCGTCCCCATGGCCCCGAGCGTCCCCCTGGTGGCCGCCGCCCTGGCGCTGTGCCTGCTGCTGGCGCCGCCCGGCCTCGCGTGGTACAAGCCGGCGGCCGGGCCCAGCTCCTACTCCGTGGGCCGCGCCGCGGGGCTGCTGGCCGGCTTCCGCAGGTCCCCGCACGCGCGCCGCTCCGAGCCCCCCGGGAGCGCGGGACCCCCGGGCCGGGCCGCCGCCGAGCCCCGCCGCCCGCGGAGCCTCGTGAGTGGGGGGTGGGGGGTCGGGGCGGGGTCGGGGTCCGGGGCAGGGCGGGGGCGGGGTCAAGGCGGGGTCGGGGCGGGGTCCGGGTCAGGGCGGGGTCCGGGCGGGGTCGCGGCGCGGTCGGGGCGGGGGCGGGGCGGGGTCAGGGTCCGGGTCAGGGCGGGGTCGGGGGGCGGGTCGGAGTCGGGGCGGGGTCCGGGTCAGGGCGGGGTCGGGGCGCGGTCGGGGCGGGTCAGGCCCGGGCGCCCCCTCAGCCTCCTCCCGCCCCCAGGCCGCGTGTGTCCAGGACGTGTCCCCGCACCTGCGGAGCTGCGAGCGGCTCCCCGACGGCCGCGCCACCTTCCAGTGCCGGGCGGACGTGTTCCTGTCGCTCCGCGCCGCCGACTGCCGCAGCGCCTGAGCCCCCCCCGCCCCCGCCCCCGCCCCCCGCGGTAACCGCCACGTGAATAAATGAGAAGCGCAGCTGGACTCCGAGTGGGGGCGGGCGGTGCCTGGGGACCCCGACTCCGCCGCCAGACACTGCGGGTCCCCAGCGGGTGTCCCAGCCCCCCCAGGCAGGCAGAGGCACCCCAAACCCTGGGGCAGAGAAGGTGCCCAGCTCGGGCCTCCGCGGCGCCCACGCAGGCGCCCCCCGCAGGGCCGTGCTGCCCAGTCCCCACGCCCGCCCCCACGCCCCGCCCCCACCCCAGGCGGCCCCGCCCTGCTTCCTGGATCTCTTCGGGACAAGGTCGTTCGTTACTGGAGGGGCAGCCCCTGAAACACCTAGAAGTAGTAAGCACGGGGCAGTGGCCGCGGGGGGGGGGGAGCAGCCTGCGGACCCCACGGCGCCCCAGGAGGCCAGACAAGGCCGCCCCGCCCCTCGCAGGCCCAGCGCCCGCACTCAGCCCTCCTCCAGGCTAATCACCTACTTTGTTGGGGGGAATCTGTTCATCCGAGCACCCAGCCCGCTGAGCCCGACCCTGAGGTCCCTTCTGGGCACGGACCGGGGCCTCCGGGGAGACTGGCTGAAACGAGGTGGGCACTGTGCTGGGGCGTCCCCCACCCCGTGGGCGTGCAGGGCCCTGCACTCAGAGGCTATGGGGGCCCCACAGCCCTGCTCCGCCCCAGCGCATGTGTCTCCAGGGACACGGGCTTGCCAGGCCCTGGGCCTCCTCCGTTCGTCCCACAGGGCTCCCCGCTGCCTGCCCCTAGCTGAGGGCGACAAGGGGGGGATTCTGGGCAGGTGTAGGGCTGACTGCTCCCGTCCTGCCCCGTCCGGACCCATGCAGGGCAGGCTAGTCCCTCCTTGTCCCTGCGCTCAGGGGACCCTGAAGCCCAGGGGACCAGGAGCCTCAAGTGTGGGGAAGCCGGACACCACCGCGCCCCCGAGGCTGGGGGCCCCATGCCTCTCACGACTTTCTACCCTAACTTGGGGAAGGAGGAAAGGAAAGCTGGGGGTGGCTGCCCAGCCGAGGGTGGGGACGTGAACTTCCACGGTTACTTCCCTTCTGTGTCCTGCACGGGGTTCTAGTTACATCAACGGGAAGAAAAGGACAGGCCGTGTCTTAGAGGGAAAGGATCCCACCCAGCCCTGCACTCCGTGGGCCAGGCTGCAGGGTGCGGCCTCACCCGGACCAGCTGCTGAGGGGCAGATGCCCTTGGCGGGGGCTGAAAACACCCCCACCGTCCCCACCTCTGAACACGACTGAACTACTGCTGCTCCCCCCGCCCTAAACTACGAGGTGACCAGGGTCAGCACCCTGCAGCCGCCGGGCTGCTCCCAGTGGGCCCTAAGATTCTCTGGGTCCAGTCAGGGAGCTGGAGCCCGGTCCTCCCTGGAGGTGTGGGCTCTGCAGAGCCACGAGGAGTGGCTCCCTCGGCCTCGGGACAGGGTCTCGGGGACGGGCTCCCTGGGATGGGGTCTCCGGGACCCAGGGACTCCTTGCTGCCAGGCCGCCCACACCCCTCCGCCACCTCCCCATGCGTGGACGGTGGGGAGCGGGGCCAAGAGCCGGACACAGAACACCTCCCATCAGGTTTATTTGGTTGTACGCCAGCCAACTGGACAAAGTTGAGAGAACAGTCTGTGGGGAGACCAGCCAGGCCCAGGAAGTGGGGGAGCGGGCCAGGGCCCAGGAGACGTGCCCATGCGAAGGCGGCATGGTCTGTGACCTGAAGGGGCAATGGGTGTCCCCTCCAGGTCTCCGCTCCCCTGAAGCTGGCTGCCAGGGAGGCTGGGAGGGCAGAAAGTGCTGGGCAGTTGGGCGTCCTGGGTCTGCAGGGGCTGGGGGAGGAGTGGGAGCCAGGCCTTCTCTGGCGCACGGGGCGGTGCCCCCAGGCCAAAGGGACCCCCTGCTTGTCCTGTGCCCCGCTGTGCTGGGTGCCCCTCTGTGTGCTGGGTGGGAAGACCACCCGGCAGGGGGTGGGGGCAGCGCCTGCCCCTCGGAAACCTCGGAACCGGGCAGCGAGGGGGGAGCGCCGCAGTTAAGAACCGTGGAAACTGAGGCCTGCAGGCTGGGTAGCAGGGCGGGCCGGGCATGGGAGGTCCTGTGCTCACAGGTCACAGTCGCTCCCTGTCTCAGGCTGCGCCTCCTGCTGCCTCCTGGACTCCAGGAAGGCCAGCTCCTTGGCCTCTTTCTTCTGGTTGCGGGCCTCATACTCCAGCCTGGGGGCGGGCCGTGTTAGGGGTGCCCAGGCCTGGGGCCGTGGGGGCTGCGGGCGCCACCCCAGGCCCCGCCCCCCACCCTCACCTGTTCTTGATGATGCGCTGCACGATGAGGTCTGTGGTAAGGTCACTGCCGCTGTCAATCTGACAGAAGATGCCCCTTCTCTTGGGCTCCTGGAAGGGGAGGGTGGCGGGGAGAGGGTGAGGGCCGTCCCCCGGGCCCCGAGGAGACTGCCCAGCCCCGGGCCTGGAGGGCTGTCACCCCCCGGATGCCCAGGACATGGACGCGCAGACCCCCGCCGCCTCCTTGAACCGGGGGGGCGTCAGCTGGGCACCGAGCCCCTAGCCTGGCTCCCACACAGGTCCCATGAGCCCAGGGACCCTCGTGCCCACCTGGTAGGGGTCTGAGCCGTCCTTGTCAGGCACGATTTCCGTCTTCCCATGACAGACCAGGTCCACCTGCGAAGGGAGTGGGTCAGGGCCCTGGCGCCCTGCACTCAGAGGCCCTCAGGGGGACCTGGCCCACCAGGAGCCTTACCTTGAAGTGGTCCAGGAGCTCTGCCGTGACAGCGTAGGGGGCCCCGATCACCACCTCTGACACGTACTACGAGGACAGGAGCACAAGCTGTTAACGGGACCCTGCCAGGTCGGGGGGAGGGGGGGCGGCGCTCTCGGCTAAGGAAGCCAGGACTGGGGGAAGGCGCAGCATGGTGCGGGTGCTGGCCAGAAGCCCAAGGCCCCTGGTGTCCCGGGCCCGTGCACCAGGGGCCTCACTGCCGCACCCCAGCACGGCCCGCACTCACCCGGCACGCCAGCACGCTTAGTGTCCGCTCATGCAGGTTCATGATGGGGTAGTTCTTCCCCTTGTAGTGGTTGACCTCCTAGGGCCAGAGCGAGCTCGGGTCAGCGCACAGCCCCGGGCAGTGGGGGCGGAGCTGTCATCGCCCCCAACAGCCCCTCACGGGTGCTCCTCATGGGTGCCTGCGGGGGGGTAAGCCCTGGTCCCCAGGAAGTGGCCCCGGGTTGTCTCCTTTTCCATCAGCACCCAAGGCCTCACCCTGTGGGCCACCTGTGCCCAACCTCAACCCCAGGAGCCCTCAAGGGCCCCCACGCTCCATCCGAGACCTGGTCAAAGTGCAGGCCGGCGATGACGTAGGGCCTCTCTGCCAGGCCGTGCACCTTCTCCAGAAAGTCCACGTGGCCGATGTCTGTGTCCAGGTTAAGAAGCAAGTAACAGGACAGGGAGTGGCTGCCTGCAGGACCAGGGCCTCTGGCAGGGCCCCTCGAGCTCCGCCCCACCCGGGGGCCTCGAAGAGTCGGCGAGGCCGCTCTGGGTCCCCTGACCCCGGGGTGCACAGGGGGCCAGGCAGGGCAACCCTCCCACACGGTCTCGGAGGATACGGAACAGGTCAAAGGCGCCGGCCACGTAGATGACCGTCTCCCCTGGCTGGGGTTCCTTCCCAGAAGCAAACTGGATGATCTTCTGAGATGTCTGCAGAAACTGGGACACCCCCGTCCAGGGGTTCCGTCCCCCAGGGCACTGAAAGCCAAGAGGCCTCTGGTCAGCCAAGACGCTGGTCAGGCACGTCCTTGGCCGCTTCCCACCCCAGAGCCCCTCCTCTGGGCCTAGGGCTGCCTGCGCCTGCCTGTCGGCTCTGGGAGCGGCTACGGGCTGATACACGAGAACTGCAGACCCCCATCGCCCCCATACCTGCCCGCAGAGCTCACAGGCAGGCGCCTCTGGCAGGAACACGCCAGGGCCAGGCTGGGCCAGGGCCCCGTGACCAGTGGGACGTGTGGCTTCGCCCTGTGGCCACAGTGGGTACTGCAGCCAACACCACTGCGCCTGGACCGGCCCACCTGTGGACACTGCGGTCGTGGGGACCCAGCACCCTGAGGCCACCTTCTGGTCACCTGGGAGGAGCCTCCCGAGGAAAGCGTCTCCCGGGTGGGTGTCGGGTGAGAGGGCTACAAAGGGAGAGAGGACCAGTCGGCCCGACTAGAGCCAGTCCCTGCTCCTTCTCCAGGGGCCACCTGACCCGCTAGCTTGCCAAGCCTGGCAGCCAGCACTCAGTCAGTGCCCAGGAGCCGGGGAGTCGAGGAGGGTGAGGGTCCCGGCCAGCCTTCTCCCGGAGGCGGCCTGGGGGCATCAGGTACCGGCCTGGCTAGTGGGGGCCGCACTCACCTTGCCAAAGCTGTCCGCGTATTCCCGGTACTCAGAGGATATCTCCTGAATGGAAGGGTGGGGGACACGGAGGACATGGTCAACCCCCAGACCCCGAAACTCCTCGTCCTGGAGCCCGCAGAGGAGTAAGCACCGGGCAGATCAGGTGCTCCCTCCCTTCCTCCCAGCAGTGTCCTTAGCCCTGGGACCTCGGGGATCCTGCCCCGTTCCCCCCCAGGCTCACCTGACCACTGTGATGGGCCTTGGTCACCAGCAACATGCGGCCAACGAGGTCCGTGGTGGACACGCCCTGGGTGCGCCTACACTCTCTGCGGACAGACGTGGGCTCAGGGCTCGCACCCAGACGTGCTCCCGAGCCCGCGGCCAGCTCCCCCCGGGGCCGCCTCTGTGTGCACACCGCCGGCTCCGGGCCGGACAGAAAACCGGGCCCAGGAGCGTGGGGAACACTGCGCTTTACCAGCTGAAGGGCCCATTACAATGGAGGGAGTGCACGGCCACAGCTCAGTGTGCAGCGTTGGGGGGCTGGCCAGTCGGGGGGTGGGGGGGTGGGCACCACCAGTCCCACGGCGCGCATGGACTGCAGGTCCGGCCTTGCCCTGCAACGCGCCCTCTGCCAAGGGAACTCCAGGCTGCGCTGTCCCTGGAGGAGCCGCTGGCCACAGTGGCTGAGTTCCTCAACAAGATGACACACGCTCCTGGTCACACCGTCCTTCTCCCCGCTCGACAGCCACCTGGATGTACCACACGCGCAGCCCCCTGGGCAGCACCCCCACCTGGTGCCAGTCCCGGCCAGGAAGCAGGCAGAAAGAGCCCGGGGGGCGCTTCGAGCCCCACTCCTTGACAAGGTGGGGCCCTCGCGGGGGCTCACCTGTACCTCCCAGCCGCCTTCACTTCCTCGTAGGTGTCCCGGCCGTCTACGGTCAGAGTGATGTCATCTGAGGAGCAACACACGTGTGAGAATGAGCACCCGTGAGCCTCATCCCAGGCCCCCGGGGGCAGGGACTCTTTCAGGGCAAGGACCCAGCGTGACGAGGCCCCAGCACCCTGGTGGCCCCTCCGGCCCGCCCACAGGCCCACCCACTCACTGCCATGGACACAGAAGTCGCAGCTGTACTTGTCCAGGGTCTCCAGCGTGGTAACGTAGGGAGCCGCCGGCACCACCTCGTCCACCCATTTGATGGCCCGCACCATCTTGTACCTCTCCTCCTGAGTGAACACCGGGGGCCCCTTGTGCTTGGAGATCTCCTCTAGAGCCAGGGAAGAAAGCAAGGACGAGGTAGGCGTGGGAGCCCCCGGCACGCAGCTGTCTCTCTCCCTGGGCCCTCAGCCCCCGGGGGCAGAAACGCACCCAGGTGGCCTCCACCCTGTTCTCTATGGGCCAGTCCAGGTGCTCAGGACGTGCTTGCTGGATAACCGCACGGTTCCCTCACCCAACTGGAGCTCCAGGCAAAGTCCTCTGACAGCCGGGCGCTCCATTCTCGAAGACCCTGGGACCCAGGTTGTTGGGGGAAGGGGAGTGGACGGCAGGGCCAGAAGCTTGACCCCTCGGCTGCACTGTTCAGCCTGAGCCGTGAGATGGAGAGCCCCCGGCGGGTGCACCTGCCGCGCTGGGCTCTTGGGAGGGATGGCCATAAGCGTGGTCTAAACCCTTGCGGGGCCCCTTAGGGTTAGTCAAAGGCAGCAGCCCCAGCTCACCGTCGGTGTGCACGCCCACGATGAGGTAGTCACCCATGGCCCGCGCCTGGCGCAGCTGGTTTGAGTGGCCGTAATGCACCATGTCATAGCTGTGGAAAGGACGGATGGTGAGTCCCTGTGCTGAGGGGGCGACTGAGCAGCTGAGGCTGGGTGTGGGCGGGGCGGCCTGGCTCCTCCGGGGCTTCCTTAGGGAGCCCTCTGGGAAGCTGCCCCTGGGAATGGCTCCTCAGGCTGAGCTGGGGCTTTCAGAAGGGAGGTGGGCACTCCACTCTCCCCACCACTGGCCCTGGGCCAGATTCAGTGAGCGCGACGGGCTGGGCTGTGCCCAGGGACAAGGCCTGCCAGTCCCCGGGGCTGGTGAGCACACGGAACAGCCTTGGCTCCCCGTCCGGGCCATGGAGCTCTGCCCTCTGCCCTCAGCCTCTCCTCTCCCCCACTGCAAACCATGGGGGGGGGGGCAGTCCCTGCAAGCTGTAAACTGATGTTAACTTAGGGGTGGGCTGGACTCTGTACTACCCTGAGACAGGTGGACGGTCTTTGGGGCCAACACAAAACAAAGTCCAACAAATGAGCAAAGGCAGTTGGTAGCTTTGGAAATCCTGCGCGCTCCCCCACAGCCTCCAGAAACTCAGCGAGGCTTTGCTCTCTGGGGCTGACAACCACCTCCCTGCCACCTTGTTCTGGGGCTTTTATCCTTAAACCTGGGCCTGATGAAGGAGTGGCTTCTCAGGTGCAGGCCCACTTGCTCCCTGGGTGGGCTGGGGAGGACCCCAAGTTGGCCCCAAACCAGCTGTCTCCTGAGTAGGAGACGCTCCCTGCTTCTCCAGGAGACCCGGGCCACCTGGTGCACGAGCTGCTGCAGTCCCCGGACACCTGTTATTCCCACCATGGCCCACTCAGTCCCCGCACACAGGCCTGTGGGTCACATTGCTCTGGCCCTGGGGGGAGAGGGGAGCTAAGTCCAAATCCAGCAGCCCCGCTGGCCCCTGAGCTCCCTGGACAGGCGGGCCGGGGGTGCGCAGCTCGGACTGCAGCGTGTCCTAGCCACAGGGGCCTTGTGGCCGTGGGTGGCCTGCTGGGGCAGGGGCCCAGCCGGACCCCGGCCAAGGTCAGAGTCCACCGAGGGAAGCCGTGCTCCCTCTCCCCAAGGTGACTCGGGCAGGGCCGCCAAGGTCCGGCTCTGTAAACTGGCCAGGCAGGGGCTGTTCCTGCCGGGATTCGCCAGGTAAAGGCCCGAGGGAGCATCACAGGTGACAGCCGTCGGCCGGCAGTCCTCCTCCCGTCTGCTGACGGCCCCAAACTTCTCTGGGAACAACCCCAGGTCTCCGGCTCGCCGGGAGAGAACGGGTGGGCAGTGTGGCCCCCTGGGCGGGACCCGGGTCGCGGGGGCTTCACCGGGGTCGCGGGCACACGTGTGCTGCCCTGGCGACGGGCAGGCTGGGGACCGACGGCGAGACCGCGGGGAAGTCGCTCTGGGCGCCCGGTGTCCCGGGCTGGAGCGCTCCGGCTCGTCGGGGCCGGACACACGGAACTCGCGCCGCCACCGGCCGGGGCGCCCGCGTCCCCAGGAGGGGCCGGTCCGCGGGCGCCTCTCGGCCGGCGGCGCAGCGGGCCCCGCGGCCCCCGCCCGCCCCCCGGCCCGCCCGCCGCCGCCGCCGCCGCCGCCGCGCTCACCAGCCGTCGCACCACACCCGCACGGCGCGCCTGCCCCCGGGGCCCGGCGGCTCCGCACCGCCCGCCGCCCCATGCCCGTTCCGGATCATGGCCCCGCAGCACCGGCGCGGCCCGGCCGGCTCCGCGACTCCCAGCGGCCGCCGCCCGCCAGCCCCGCGCACGCCCCGCCCAGCCCGGCGCACGCGCCGTCACGCGGGCCTCACCCGCCGCGCGCGGCCAATGGCGAGCGCCGCCCCGCCCCGCGGCCCCGCCCCCAGCCGCCGCCAATGGCGCGAGCCGCCGGGGCCGCGCCCCGCCCCGGCCCCCGCAGACCCCGCCCCCCAGCGCGCGCGGCCAATAGCGCACGCGCACCTGGCCGAGGGGGCGGGGCAGGGCCACGCGGGGCGCCGCCCGCCCACCTCCCCGAGGAGCCCCATCCGGGCGCCCGCCCCCGGCCCGGTGCCGGTGCCAGCGGGGCAGTCATTCGAGGACACGCGCGAGACAGTGCAGAGACGTTTAATAACAATAAAAAGGCCTGCTGAGAGCCCAGGCTCAGAACCCCGCCGCCCCCGCCGCCGCCGCCGCCGCACACCCAGCACAGAAAAGGTTGCTGTAAAGTTACCACGTTTTAGTAAGAAGCAGTAGAAAGGGTTGAGGCCCCTGAGACTAGCCCGGCGGACCAGGTAAGGCAGCCGCGTGCTCCCCCCGGCCGGCCGCGAAATAACCCGAGTTCTGTCCTCGCAGGAAGGCATGGCCGCCGCCAAGGACGGGTGAGGCGTCCTCCGGAGGCCCAGTCCTCCGGAGGCCCAGGCCGGAGGCGGCCACAGCAGTGCAGGGGGCTCCCGCTGGGATCCAGGGCTAAGCGCGTCGTCACCCCGGGGCCGGCCCCTGAGGAAGACTTCTGCCGCCCGCAAAGTGCCAAGTGTTCCTGTCCACAGCCCCAGGTTACGTGATCTTCCTCCGCTTTGTGCGTTTGGCGCAGCCCCTGCCAAACCAGCCACCTAGCACCGGGGCCGAGCTCAGGGCCGCACCCCGGTCCCCAGGCGGAGGGTCCTCTCGGCTTCTGCACAGCGACTTCCGACTGTGGCTACCTTCTTCACCCGCACGCAGGGGAGTGGCCAGGGCGAAGATGGGGTCCTGCCACCTACCGGAAAGGGAAAGCTGGGTCAGGCGTGCCTGGGGGCCTCGGCACAACCTGCCCCAGGGCGGGAAAGCTGACTGAGGTCGCCCTGCTCCCCTCCCGGTCTTAACTGTGGCCAGGCTTGGCTTAGCGGCAGCTCCACTGTTCCTGAGCTACAGAACAGCGCCAAGAGGGGGAAGCTCCCCAGGAACTCAAAGGTCAGCGCTCACACTAGCTCAGCCTCCGCAGAACTGTGTCCGTGCTGGCGATGGAGCAGGCCGTGCACACCCAGGGTGGGGCAGGAGTAGCCCCGAGAGGGACGGATCACTAGCAGCTCTGGGTCCCACCTTTCACTTGTATGGCCAGGGGCAGGTGGACCAGACCCTCTCCCTCTTCCCAGACTGCAAGACCTGATGGTGGGGGGCTGGGGGGTGGGGAGGCCAGCTGACTAGGGAGGTGTGGCTTATAAACTACACCATGAAGAGATCATGTGTCTGAGATGCAGAACCACATATTATAAACTTAAGATACAGATAAGCACTGATAAAGAAAATGAGCTAAGTTAATGTAAAAAAAAAAAAAAGTACGGTACACAATAGGCCCACATTACAGAACACCACAAACATAACATACAAGAATTGCCAGGCCCAGAAGGTGAAGGGATCCTTAATTCTTGAACCCTTTGATTAAAAGAAGTTATTGATTTCCCCTATAAGACCCTGAAAATTCACAGAGAAAGAAAGTGTAAACTTTTTACTCAATACATACACCATGTCTAAATTATCACAAATTCTGTATTAAGGTACAGTTTAAGTTTCCCCAAAGTATGCCAGCTCCCCAAACCAGGTACACCAAGAATCTGTTTGACTGGAATTGCCGAGACCACGTCCCTTCGAGGCACCTTCCCGTCCAGGCTGTCTAAGGTAGAAGGGGGGGCTCCAGGCACACACTGGCACATTCCCTCTCCCCACAGGGAGTCACATCAGCCTTCGCTGATGCCTCAGCCACTCCCTGCAGAGGCCACCAAGCTGCAGTCACACCTCAGACGCCACCTGCAACATCTCAGAGCATTCTCTATGCTCAGGTTCACGAGTAAAGACAGACACGGCCCATCCACACAGGGGCAGGGAAGGGGCGGATGCCCCCGTGCCCCCCTCACCTGCTATAGGGGGGGATCTCCAGGCCCAGCTCATCCATGAGGAGCTGCATGACGTCATCACATTTCCCATGTAGCTTCAGGGCAGCCCAGTCATCCTTCGGGGTCCACTAGGGACAGGGGGAGGTGAGTGAGGACATCTCAATTCTTCGCAATGGCCCTTTCTCAGCCAGACCTCTGTGGCCCGTAAGTTCGGGACACGAACGCCCCAGGAACTCTCTGGTTCTCCTGCTCTAAGGTCCAGATCTAAGGAGGTGTATCTTGGTGTGCAACTTACCTGCAAGTTCACAATGTAGAGCTTGGGCCTCCGGCTGGGGGGCTTGGTCATGCACCAGAGGCGAGGGTATTTCTTCAGAACCTGCAGGAATGGACGGACAGACAGAAAGAGCCCATGCACAAGAGCAAACGAAGCCACAGGAAGCTAGGGTCCGACACTGATGCAGCTAGGGGCTGGCAAGCAGGCTCCCTCCCCTTCTGTCCCGTCCACTCCCTCCTCCATGGCGCTGTTCACGTACCTTTAAGCTGGAACCTAAACATAGGATTGTGTCTGCTTTGCTGGCAGCTTGAGTGGCTGCCTCCCAGTTCAGAGGCTGCCCCAGCGTCCCCCTCTCCCCAAAGTGCACAATGGTGTCCCGGAGCTGGCCCCCACACTTGTGGCAGGCCCGGCCTGTCTGGTGCCGGTGAAGGGCGGTGCGCTCAGTGACATCAAACACCCTCACGTACTCCCTGTTGGGTGTGCAGGCTGTACAGACCTGAGAAGGAGAGGGCGCCGTGGGCAGGAGCCGCCGGCCTGCACCGGCCCCCGAAATCCCAGAGGGGCTGCTCACCTCAATGTACATGTTCCCGTGGAGCTCCGAGATGGCCGTCCGAGGCAGCCCGCTCCGCAGGTGGAGCCCATCGCAGTTCTGAGACACCACATGCTGCACCTGAAGGGGAGATGGGGCAGGTCAGCAGGGGTCGTGTGTGTGTGTGCGCGCGCGCGCGTGCGCTGGTAATGTGGGGCTGCGTTCAGCCAGGACACCATCCGTAACCCTACCCAGAGCTCCCAAATCAGGGGGAACTCCAGTCCTGCATGAAGCTTCAAAGGCAAAACCGGAATGGCAGCCGGTCCTAGCTTGACTCAGAAGGGTCCTGGGTGGGAAAGGCCCCGGCACCGCCCCCCCCGGCACCCCCCACCCCACCCCACCAGCTCTGAAGCACTTGGCGAGCTAAGAGGGCAGATGCTTGCTCTCAGCTAGAAAGGGCTCAGCTCATTACATTTCAGGTAGCGGTAGCTGAAGGACCAGAAGGATTGACCCTTCCCCACATGGTTCAAAGTGCTCAGCAGAGGGTCTCCAGAGGTTGCCCGCGAGCTTCCCCTGTATGTGGGTGCCTTCTGAGGTCTGTGGGGACAATGTGATAGAAACACAGGGGAAAAGAGCCACCAGCAGCTCTGGGCCTGAGATCGGTCCTATACAGGATGATTCACGAGAGAGAGATTCGAACCCGGAGTCTCAAACCCGCGGTAGGCACTCATCTCAGCGTCCAAGGGCTGACAAGCTATGACGCAGTTGCTGCTCGGGCACAGAGGTGGCCCTCCAGGTCCTGTACTGGGGACCCAGCTAGCCACCTCGGGTTCTTACCAGCTTTTGCTCATGTAAGCGGGCGATGCTCATGTGGGTGAGGGTCGGCTCAGCCTCACTCAGGTCAGCGGCACTGCCGGGTAGAAGGGAGCACAGGGGTGGGAAGCTGTGAGGTCAGGCCCACGCTGGCTTGGCTGGACCGTGTGCGAAGGCTGTGTGAGGGCTGCGCTAGGCCGCTTACCTGATGCTCCTCCCTTTCTGGAGCAGCGTCCACACACCATTGGGGCCCCGGTAATCTGGGATGGAGGCTGCCTGCACGTCCACAAAGAACATAAACCCAGTGACAATGCATCACTGTAGGAACTGGCACAATTTGCAAGAGTGAAAAGCAAACGTTCCTCTTCACGTGGTGTTCCAGGCTTGTCCTCGCACTAGGCTCTATCCATTCCAGAGGCTCAGCACTTCCTACCACAACCTGCCTGCACCCAGACAGAGGGGCTCCTTCCCTCTGCCCACACCCCTGCTCCCACCTGGTCTAGCTCATCCCTCCAGGTCTCAAGGATCCTGCCGACTCTGGGAACCTCTCCAGCACTGGGAATAGCCCAGGCTATGTAGCCACACCCGTCCTCTAAACCGAGGTAGAGGACTGGCCAGGCTCATCTGTGGGTCCCCAGGGCCCGGCCAGTGCTCCGGGAAGGTTTAGCAAATAGCGAAACTGCAGGCCAGAGCACTCAACTGTCCCAATTCTTGTATCCTGATAGTGTTTGCTGTCTTCCCTTCACAAAGATAGCCAACTTCTCTACACAAGATAAGCACCACTGAACTTCTCTAGTTCTCGATCCAGTGAAACAAAGCCATCATGAGAGAAGACAGTAGCCCAGGATCAAGGACTCCTGTGTTCCCCAGGCTGTGAGTGACCTGCCTTCTGGGGAGCCCTGTCTCCCTCCTGCAGCTGAAGCTTGGAAAAATGCCCGTCCTGAAGAGCGTGGTTCTGAATGACACTGAAGAGAAACCTCAATCAGTAATGCTCAACTACAGAGCAGCACACGGCTGTCCGTAACCCCGTGCGGCACCCCCACAAATGACAGGAGCGCACACGTCACTGGAGGCAGGAGACCCCACTACCAGGGCTCCAGGGTCTGCAAGTCAGGGTGCTCAGTGCTCCTTACCCATTCTTGTTTTGGAGGCTCTTGCTCTCACCCTTGCCCATAAAACCTTACTCAACCTTCAAGGCCTGGCTTCAATGCTGTCTCGCACAGAAAGCCAACCGGATGGATTTCGCTGCTGAAGCCACGAGGGGGTGAGATGGGGAGGTGGCTGTCTGCGTTTCCACTCTAGCAACCTAGCACAGCCAGCTGTGCCTTAGCTGTCTGCTTACGCGCCATATTCTCATCGCCCGCGGGCATCTTGAGGCTGGAAATCCTCAGGCTCCCCTCCGCTGGGCCTACACTGCGTCACGCTCAACACGCACCCACTAAGTAGACGATGACACTCTCAAAGCTACCCGTGTTCCGTGGCCCGAGACAGCTCCCCAATAAAACCTGCCCAAACCCCACGCATTTCTCTCCTTCCCCTGGTGTACTCTCATTCGTCCTGCCTTGCTTCCTAGTGACTTTCAACACGTAGAAAACGGGGTGAATGGGGAACCTGGAGACAAGTTCTGGGCTTAACTCTGCCCACCTAACCTTGGGCTAGTGATGAGCCGCCTTGACTTTAGGTGAGGAGCTGCCCGCAGGCACTGAGGTTTCACGTCCCTCTTACGCCTCCTTCCTTTCTTGTGTCTAAACGGCATCGCGAAAACTGCATACGTTGAAAAATGCTTATCTCCCCAGTGAAGTTTGAAGTGGAATCATTTCAAGCCTCTCTGGGAAACCACATGGGGAGGGGGCGCTTGGTGGCCCCACAGGTCCTGATCTCCGGGTGGTGGGGCCCTGCCCTGGGGGGGGGGGGGTGTCTGTCCTCCGAGAGTCTCTCTCTCCCTCTGCCCTGTGCGCATTGTCTCAAATACATAAGTAAGACTTTAAAAAATGACAAGGAGAGAAAACAGCGGGGTGCCTGGCGGCGTCAGTCGGAAGAGCGTGAAGCTCTAGATCGGAGTCCTGCGTCCCAGCCCCACACTGGGTGTAGAAATCGCTTTTATTTTTTATTATTTTTTAAATTTTTATTTATTTTATGATAGTCACAGAGAGAGAGAGAGGCGCAGAGACACAGGCAGAGGGAGAAGCAGGCTCCATGCACCGGGAGCCCGACGTGGGATTCGATCCCGGGTCTCCAGGATCGCGCCCTGGGCCAAAGGCAGGCGCCAAACCGCTGCGCCACCCACGGATCCCTAGAAATCGCTTTTAAAAACAGACCAAGCAACGGCTTGGAGACCGCACAGCAGAGCTGCTCTGCGCCAAGGCGCGTTTCCTGCGGGTCAGGGCCGGCGCGCAGAGGGCTCTGCCCGGTCCTGGGGCCCGTCACCCGGCAGGGGGCGCGGCGCCGCGCCCCGCCCCGCCCCGCCCCGCCCCGCGCGGGCGGCCGGACCCCGGGCAGGGCCGCCTCACCGTGCTGATCCCCGCGCCGGTGTAGACCACCAGGTACTTGGCGTTGCGGACGGCGCCGGCCAGCTCGCGGACCTTCCTGCGCAGCTCCTCCGGGTCGTCGCACACCTGCCGAGACGCCGAGGCCGGCCGTAAGCCCGCCCCGCCCCGCCCCGCCCCGCCGGCCCCGGGCGCGCCGCGGACTCGCCTCCTCCTGCCGCCGCTTCAGGCCCTCGCGCCGCCTGCTCCGGCCCTGCAGCTCGGTCACCAGGTCCTCGCTCTCCGCCAGGAGCCGGCCCTCCTCGGCGCTGCGCTCGGCCGCCGCCTTCCTCAGGATGCGCGACACCTGCGGGCGCGGGGCGGGCGGTGAGGGCGGCGCGGGCCGGGGGCGCGGGGCGGGCGGCGGCGGCGGCGGCGGCGGCGGCGTACCTGGCGGAGGCGCTCCCGCTGCTGCTCCTCCCGCAGCCTCCGGACCCGCTCCGCCGCCTTGCGCTCCGAGCGGCTGGGACCCCCGGCTGCCATCGCTCCCGGAGGCCCGCGCTTCCGCTTCCGCTTCCGCCTCCCGGCAGGCCGCGCCCCGCGCATGCGCGCCAGGCGCCCCGCCCTTCCGGCCCCGCCCGCGCCGCGCGCAAAGGAGGCACCTGACGGTCTCTTTAAAAGGTGTTTATTGGTCATATACAAAATAAAGAAAACCTTATATATCACAAACATACACTATGTACAGCAATAAATACCCGGGCCCGGCCCAGTGCCGCCCCCCCTGGACAATAATTTAGCAATAAATACTGCACAGGGCAGGCGGGGCGCTGCGCCGAGGCCCAGGGAGGCCCCTCCGCGCCGGGATCTTCAGCGGCCCGGCAGCCCCCGCAGCCCCGGCAGCCCCGGCAGCCCCGCAGCCCCGGCAGCCCCCGCAGCCCCGGCAGCCCCGGCAGCCCCCGCAGCCCCGGCAGCCCCCGCAGCCCCGCAGCCCCGGCAGCCCCGGCAGCCCCGGCAGCCCCCGCAGCCCCGGCAGCCCCGCAGCCCCCGGACCCCCGCCCCTGCTTCCAGCCCTCGGCGACTCCCCGCACCCAGCCCCTCAGCCGGGCACCGGGCTGCACGGCGGCGCCACCCACCCCCGTTTGGTTAAAGGCTTCAGGGAGCTGCGGGGTGCGGGGTGCGGGGTGCGGGGGAGGGAGGCAGGGCCGGCCCCTCGGAGCTCCCCGGGCACGCTCCCCTCCTGCTCGGGCTGCCCAGGCACCGCGCACCAAGGCTGCTGCGCCAGCGCGGGGCGGAGACCCGGTGACCGGCCCACGGGGACAGCACACGCTCAAAACACACGGGCCTGCAGGAGGACAGGCCGCAGCCCTGCCTCCTGTGCCCTCCACGTCTCCCGGCCTGCTCCAAAACTAGACGGCCAACAGGAAGGCAAAAACGCGCCAGAAAGAGTTATTCAGTGGCTTCTGGGGGGGGGGCGGATCGTTACCGTGTTGGTTCCTTTCACCAAACCACAGCCTAAAACAGCAACTTACAAGATCCCAGAGCGGAAACGGCGCTGCAGGCTGTGGCTTGGGCTGCCCAGCGGTGGATGGGAGCTTGAGCCAACTGGCCACCTCAGAGAGGGGAGGCGACAGGGACAGGAGGGGGCTTGACCACCTGTCCCAAAGCAGGCCGCAGCCGATCAGAGCCGTGGGCTCACGCGCTGACCACAGAGGCTGCTGTTGACCATCAGCGGTGTGCACAAAGACCTGGAGCAAGAGCAGAAAAGCCTCCAGGGGAGACCTGGCATCCGGCAGAAACCAGAGCACCACACGGCTGAGCAGCCACACCTCCTCACCTGGACAAACAGCAGTGCCACCCAGAGCAGCAAGCCAGGGCCACGGGGAGGTCTCCCTGGGGTCATACTCAGGGCAGGAGCTGACCTGTTCCCACCAGGCTCTCCTCTGAAATCTGAGTGTCCGTGTTGGGATAAGGGAGGAGTGAGGGCAAGATGGGAAGGAAGGTGCACATCATGGTTTACTTAGCGGGCAAGTTTGGGAGACTTGGCCTCTGCCAAAGCCCTCGATTCGCTGTGTCAGAAAAGTCGGGAAAAAGAACACGACACCGTCACAGTAGGAAAACTAAATTAACAAGAATCAGAAAGACACCAAAGCAGTCACATGTGGACACAGGCTGTACCTGTCAAGAAACCAAGGTGATGGGAGGGAAGGGGCAGAGTGCGGAGTGGCCCCGCCGGGCGGGCTTGACGGGAACGGGATGTTCCCCCAGACCCAAGGAACAGCTGCTCCAAATCCAAAAACCATGAAAGGAAGCATGGCCTCACTAACTCTAGAAGCTTCTTCTATTACCTAAATCCGATCTGCAATTGGTCTTCTCCCGGTGCCCACCCCCACAGCCCGCCTCTCACCTTCCAAGCCTGTCTCCTTCCTCTGCTCTCCAAGTCTCCAGCCTGGCAGATGCATGACTGCCTCCTAGCCAGGACCAAAGTGGGGACCAGAAGCGGATATGGAGGGCACGGGCTTCTCCCTCTCTTCAGGGACTCTTAGGATGGGATTCCAAATCAGTGCCGCTACAACCAACATCGACAACTTTCATCTGGACCCTAGGTAGACAAAGCCACACAGCAGGGAGGGGCAGGAAGCCACTAAGTATTGAGAGTCAACGGTCAGAATCTCCACGGCAGGCCGACCCGAGTCCAACCGGGACCGGGGAGCATCTAGGGCCAAGAGAAGATAGAATCGGACAGCATGGCCCTGCTCCTATCCCACGGCACCCGGGTCACACCCGGGGAGGGAAACCCTGCTGCCCACAAAGTCATGCCCCACCAGGCTGCAGTGAGATTCTTTTCACCAGCCCACACCTCTGTGCTTTATAGGGGCTCAAGCCCCCAGAGAAGCTGCCCAGCGACCTCCAGGAGAAGCCGAGACCCATGTGGCCAGAGACCGGGCAGTAGCCTCTTGAGGACAGGCACCGCAGGCAGCTCCCGTCACAGGCCTAGGAGGAGCTTCCCGAGCCAGGGCTGGAAGACTAGCTGCCTCTGCCGAGGGGCCATGAGGAGGTGGGCTCAGCCCCGGAGAGATGCACCTCCACAAGCTGAGCAGCGCATCCCTGGAAGACACAGATCCCAAAGGGAGGCAAAAAGTGGCCCACAGCCAAGAGCCGGAGCACGTTCAGGGCGAGGTGAGGGACAGGACCTGGCCCCGGAGACTGTAGCCCTTGTCTGACACTGGTGGAGACCCCCCTCACTCCGGCCCGCAGGCAGGGAGAGGGGCCACCCCAGACAAGCCCCAAACCACCTGGTTTCCCGGGAAGCATCCCTTCACAGCATGGAAGCACGGCTAGGATAGGTGGGCAGCAGGCCTCGACACTCCCACATGGGCCATAGGGTTCCCCGGATGGGGCCCACGTGACGCCTGCAGGAACAAGGCTGCGCTCGACGGCCAGAACCCACGCGTGTTGACGAGAGGCCAGAAGGAAGACACCTGGGGGCACCTAGTGACTCCTTGGTCCCTGCTAGTCTGTCACCCATGGCCAGAGGCGGTGGGCACGGAAGCGGTGGGTCCGGGGGGCGCTCTGGGATGGCCCCTGGTCTCACCCACCCGGCCACTGGTTCAGCCCAAGCCTTCCAGAGACATGCGAAGCCAAGGCTGTGCAGAGGTGAGAGCGGCAGAGCCCCGTATCTGATCCTCTGGGGTCCTGGGTCAGGCACCGAGGCAGAGGGGGCCGGGCTGGCGGGCAGATCCCCGGGCCCTGCCGGAGCAGGAGCTGCCCAGCACCCAGTGCAGGCCCAGCAAGCCAGCAGAAGCAAAAACACAACCAAATCCAAAAAACAGACACGGGAATAACAGACACAAGAAGTGACACCCACAGGTCAAAGGTCACCAGAAGCACCAGCACGGGACGCTGCACAAGACCTCACCAGGCTCAGACGACAGCACGACGGCACGGCACGGCACCGGCAAGAGACGGAAGCAGGAAGGGCAAGGGAGTAAGTCACTTTCGGTACAATTGCAAAAGAGATAGCAAAGAGGGCGCCAGCACGCGCCTTGTGGTCGCTCACGGCTTGGCTTTTTTTTTTTTTTTTTTTTTGTCTTTTTTAAAACTAAGTTTTATAAATAACGTCTGATAACTCTGTGTATATAAAAACTAAACTCCAACAGCCACAAAGACTTGTCCATAAGTTTACAAGAAAGGGATTTTTTTTGTTTTTTTTTCTTTTGTTAAACTAGCAAAGTTTCTATTATACTTTCCTTCCGTGTCCATATATACGGTCAAATGTTCTTGCTTGTTTTTTTTTTTTTAAAAAGACAGTTTTATAAATACTCTGCAGCTCTTTTTTCTTTAGCTTTTAAACATATAATTTAATAACTTCGTAAAAGGAACTCCTCTCTTTTAAATAAAGGGCTATGTAACCACACAAATAGCTCATGTAAACAGTGACACGGGACCCATCGCAGGACACGGGACACACCCTTCACGTATGCTCACAACCAGTGATTTGGTCTTGTTCAGTGCAATGCGTCAGGCTCGAGCGCCGTGGCCCCTGGCCCACAGCCACAGAACGCCCTGTCCCTCCCAGCGCCCGTGGCGCCCAGGCTGGTGGCCCGCCCATGCAGGGCCCTCGAGGATGCCCTACTCGTAGGAGCAGAGGCCATCTATGCCCGTTGGCCGCACTGAGAGTGAACCACAGCCCCCTGCCAGCCGGCAGCGGTCAGGGCTGTGGGCCACCAGGAGTGGCCAGCGGCCCCCTGCCCTGGAGCCCTCCCTGCTCAAACTCGCAAGCCCCAGAGTGCGCGTCCGGTGTTCCTCTGTTCCCACGGGGCCAGCCCTGGACTCCAAGCCTGCACGGCCTTGGTACAAAGGGGACTGGGGTGACCCCACGCCACCGCCGAACCGACCAATCCCAACGTACAAAACACACGATGACAACGACGAGATCAGAGGGGCTCAGCCCGGCGCCCCCGGGGTGCAGGTTGTGCTTTGCAGGGGAGGGAGGAGGCGGGAGAGGAGGAAAGGAGAGGAGAAAGAAGGGACAGGGCTGCCAAACTCGCCATGCGCCTAGTGGCCCCTCGCAGACCCGCCCGGGCAAGCGCGCGTCCCTACGACCGGGCGTCCGTCTTGGACTTTACTATCGTGATGACGCTGGTGGCGGCCACCTTGCCGGGGACGAGGGGCCCCAGGCCGGCGGCGAGGGGGCCCCGGGCCGGCGCCACGGGGCTGCGGGCCACGGTCCTGGCGAAGTTCTGCAGGGCCTCGTACTTGGAGCGCAGCGCGTCGAGCTCCAGCTTCATGCTGGCGTTCTCCGAGGCCAGCTTCTCCACCTCCTGCTGCAGCTCCGCCTTCTGCTTCTCCAGCTCCTCCTTCTGCGTCACGCGCTTGACGCGGCAGCTGGCAGCGTAGCCGCGGTTCTTGAGCGTGCGCCGGCGCTGCTTCAGCTGGATGATCTCCTCCTTGGACAGGCCTCGCAGGTGCTGGTTGAGCTCCCGCACCGACATGGTCACCAGCTCCTCGTCGGTCAGGCTGGTGCCATTCTCTCCCGGCTCCCGCTTCACCTGGGGGCGCGACAGGGCGTGAGCTGGGGGCGGAGGGGGGACGCCCACCCCTGTGCTCCCCGGCTCCAGACGCCACCCCCTCTGTCCGCTCACCTTCAGGGCTTTGTTTCCTTTATTGGGGGTCGTCATAACCCGGGGGCACGGCAAGCAGGCACTCTGCGGGACAGGGAGCAGAGGTCAGGACCCCACAGCCCACTCCCCTCTCCCTCCCCAGGCCGCAGAGCCCCCAGCCTCGCCTCTCACCTGACCATTCCCGATACCTGGCCCAGAGGACCACCTGCCACCCTCTGGCTAGGCTGCTCCCTGTGCACCTTGTGCCCAGGAACCCAGTGGGCCGGATCAGGGGAGGGAAACTGAACGCACAGCTGTTAGAGAGGCAGAGACTAGAAAAGGGCCTCGGGAAGAGATGGAAGGGATGCAGGAGGGGCCAGCCTAGAAGGAAGCCGGGAGCTTTAAAAATAACCCCAGTGTGCGCCCCAGAGCACGGCTGTTCCTGGCGAGTCACGCTGACTCAGCACATCGCTCCCGCTCCCTCACCAGCCTGGCCTGGCGCTCCCCAGGGCTGCCAGCCAGCACAGCCCCGGGGGACCGCAGCCTGGGCAGAGCGCTGCTGGGGCCAGTGCCCCCGCACCTGTGCACTCCAGGGCCCTACCTCCGACAGCCCCCTCCCCTTAGCTGCCCTGGTATGGGGGTCCTGGGTGGGGGGGGTTCCGTGAAGGCTTCGGGGCCAAGACGAGGATGCAGGCGAGTCAGACTTTTCACTTTGAAGAGCTCGACCGTCCTCAGCATTGGTGGGAGCCCCCCACCCCGCCCCCAGGTGGCAGGCACCCCAGCAGAGGCCGGGCTCAGCCCACCTCCGCTGCCTGGTGGAGCAACCTTCCTGTGGCTTTGGATTGCGGCATCTTGCGCCCCTGCCCCACCCCATCCCTGCTATTTCCTAACAGTGCCCGGTTAGCCACCCAACCGGGGGACCCGCTCAGCCTCCTCCAGCTCCCCCCCCACTAGGGGTCAATGCCCACAGCTCAGGGAACAACAACAAAAGGGCTGGGGGGTGCAGACCAAAGGGCCCCCTCGCAGCCATTCAGTTGCCCTTCCCATACCCGGCCCTCAATGCTTTCTCAAGCCCTGCCAAGGACATTTCTGTGCACCTAATCCTGCAATTCTGGCCCAGCCAGCCCCCCACCAAACCCTTAGACAAGGACACTTCCCTCTCAAACCCCTACTTGCCAGGTTCGGTGCAGAAAGGTAAGTGGCTGGAGGAAAAGAAGGACCGTGGTCTCCCTGCTGCAGGAGGTCACAAGCTCTGCAGGTAGCCCTGGGCTGGGGGCTTTCTCACCCTCACTGGGGAGATACAGCACAGGTGGGGGAGGTGAAGTGCAAAGCGGCTTCGGGGTACAGCGGCCACCTCACCTAGCCCCGTCCTAGTCCCGGGACGTGCCTCACCACAGCCAGGTTCCCCAGGGCTCTGAGGCAGACCCTGAGGCTGGTCCCATGGCTGTTCCAGAGCAGAGGATGGAGAAGGCACCAGCTGGAGGCCAGAAGATCCCCAGGGCCCCAGACCCACCCCGGGGGCTCCCCCAGCCTCGAGTCTGAGTCAGGGTACAGGGACACTCCCCTGGGTCTAACCGTTGTCAGCCCAAAGGAACAGCCCGGGCACCAGCTTTTCCCGCCAGCCATCCTCCCTCCACCCCCGAATGCTGAGCACAACGGTGACTTCCTGAAGAGATCACGCAGAGAAGTGCCGAGCGTGGCGGCTGGGAGCTGAAAAGTGCCTCCTCGACAGATTTCACCCTCTGCAGAAGGCCTGAACTCAGCACAAGTGCAGCCACTCGCCTCCCAATCAAAGGTGCAGCGTGTGTCTGCGTGCGGTGGGGGAGGGGCGGGTCTCCGCAAAGCCCCTGCTTCAGGCTCCTGACCCGGCCTCTGCCCACCTGGGACACACACAGGTGTGACAGCGATAGCCTTTGGGGAGGGACTGTTAGAGACAACTCAGGGTACCCCCTAGAAGCCAGAGGGAGGGTACCCGGGAGGCTGGATTAAGGAGAAGCTTCCACTTTTCCCCGTCCCACAGGCTCCATCATCCTTCCCCGCTCCCCTTCCCCAGAGGCTGAGCCACCTCGTGAAGAGGGCTCGGGCGGTCCCAACAGCCTGGAATCCCCAGGGCACGCTGGGCCACCTCCTCAGGCTGACAGCCAGCTGGGAAGGGAAAGACGGGTTCAGACAGCGCCACCCCTTACCTGGGCCCAAACCAGGATGTGGACAGGTGGCAAGAGCAACACAGCCAGCCCCTGCTCCTGCCCTGGCCCCAAATTCTAGTGGCCCCAACCTAGCCTGGCCTTCACCACCTCCTCCGAGATCCCCCAGCCGCTGGAAGCCATTCTGGGAACACCCAACGACTCAATTTCCACGAAGAATAAAGGAGAAGACTTAGAGAGGCAGCCCTTCGGGAATCTGCATTCCTCAGGTGTAACACTGCGCGGAAAGATCAGCTGAGGTGTCAAACGTCTGGCATCGATGAGCCCAAGGCTAAGTGTGCGTGTGTCCGTGAGTGCGCGTGGGGGGGGGGGATCCCTGAAGACGGACCACAAGGCCGCCTGACCTAGCCCTGAACCCCTAGGCAAGAATAGGCAGCTCTGGTCAAGACAAGACACCCCCGCCCCTGGAGGCCAGGAGCCACCCACAGTCAGGGAAGGTCTGGAGGCCAGGCCACACCACCCTCAGGCTGCCCCCAGCCCCGTCCCGACACCCACAGGGGCCACAGTCTTCACTAACACCCACACAGCGCAGAGCCCAGCCTTGAGGGGGACAGCTCTGGGGTGATGGGGAGCGGAGCGCCTTCCGCGTGCCTCCCACACCAGCCCACTGGCTGTGCCCCAAGGTCCAGGTGCCCTCCGCCTCACAGCCGCCGCCACCTGCAGGGCTTGGACCCAAACCCCAAGGCCAGTCTGCCAAAGGGGCAGGGCCTGCTCACCAGCACCTCACTCCCCGGATGCCAAAGTCCTGCCACCCCGTCTCATTGGAGTTTCCTGGTAGAGCTGCACCTGCTCGCCCCTGCCCTGTCCACTGCCCTCCGGGACTGGAGAATCCAGGCACCCCTGTTTCTGCCACTGACTCCCTCCGGCCAGGGTGCATCCCTCCCTTCCCCGCCCAGGGGCTGCCCAGCCCAGCCCACTAGACCAGTCACAGGGAAAGCCAGCTTCCCAGCCTGGCAAGCACGGCCCCCCTAAGCTCCTCCCCTCCTCTCACTCAGAACTATTTCCCAGTTTGGGGAAGTGTCCCAGACGCCGGTTGGGGACCGGGCGCCGGAGGCGAGCGCGGCCGGGCTGGCGGGCGGGGGCTTCACGCTCCGCGGGGACGCGACACCTGCGCGCAGGCCCCTGCACCTCGTCCTCGCCCAGCCTTCAGCTCGCCCAGCAGCCCAGACGTGAGCCGCTGCCCCGGGCCCGGCCCGGCCCGGCCCGGCCCCCGCCCCGCTGCCCCTCCCGCTCGCATCCCCCGGCCTTTCGGACCCCAGGCCCCTGGCCCGGCCCCCCCCATTAGAACGAGCATCGAGTGACCTCATGCTGATGACTCAGCAAGTCTCCCTCTGGGCTCTGGCACGCGTGGGACGGAGCGAAGCCGGCGCGGGCAGGGTCTTCCCGGGCCCGCCACGTGCCGCGCCCCCGCGGCCCGCCGGGGACCCGAGCGCCCGGGCCGGCGGGCACGGACACCTGATGAATCAGCAGCCGGGCCCCGGGCTCTTCCGCGGAGCCGCGGGCGCCCCGCTCGACCCCACCCTTTCCTCCCGCCACACGGCGCCCCTCCCACCGCGGCGCCGGGGCTCCGCCGAGCGGGCCCCGCGGCCGCCCCGCCCCGCCCTCCTCCGGCCCCCGCGGCCCACCCCCGGCACCCCGGGCGCCAGGGCCCGCGGCCGCTCCGACCCGCGGGGAAACCGAGGCACGGGCCGCCGGGAGCGCGCGGGCAAACGAGCAGCGGGGAGCGCGCGGCCCGCCCGCCGCCGCCGCCCGGGGAGCCGCCGCCCGCCCGCCCCCGCCCGGGCCCGACCCCCGCCGCCCGCCGCCGCCGCCGCCGCCGCCGCCGCACTCACCCAGCACACTGCGGGCCCGGGCGGGCCGAGGCCGGGCGGCCGGCGGGCGGGGGTCGGGGCCGCGCGGGGGCTCCGGGCCCGGGGGGGGGGCTCGCCGCCTGCGCGGGCCGGGCCGAGCGCGCTGGGAAGGCCGGGCCGGACCAGGCTCGGGATCCGCCGCCGCCGCCGCCGCCGCCGCCGCCGCTCCACAGACGTCACATGATGTTTGGTCACGTGGGCTCCATTCATGAAGCGGCGACGGGCCGGCCGCGGCTTAAAGGGGCCGGAGCGGCGGCGCGGCGGCACTGCGCCTGCGCGGGGAGCCGCGCCCGGGGCCTCGCCCTGCCCCGCGCTCCCCCCGCCGCCGCCGCCGCCGCCGCCGCCGCCCCCCTCCCCCTCCCCCGGCTCGCAGGGGCCCCGCAGCGCCGTCCAGCGTCCGCGCCGCGGGCTGCCCTGCGCCCAGCCCTGGAGGCGCCCGCGCCGCGGCCCGCTCCGCCGGCGAGACCCTTCCCGCGCCGTCGGGGCAGTCGGGGCTCCGGGCGCGCGAGGCCGCGTCCGCCCCCGCCCTCCAGGGGCCTCTCGGGGCTGCTCGGCTCCCAGGGAAACAGGCCCCCGGGGTAGAAGGGACGTCGGGGGGATGCCGTCGCCTCTGCACTTCCCTTCTCGGGCGTAGAGCCGGGCAGGGCGGCTCACCTGGCCGGGCAGGCCCGGGGCACCCAGGTGAGCTGGCGCAGGCGCAGCGAGAGGCCGGCGGCGGGGTTCTGATGGGAATTCAGTGCCACCGCCAGAGGTCCCCGAAGCCAGGGCGCGAGGGCACCCGCAGGACCCCCCCTCCAGGAGGAGGTTTCCCTGTGGTTGTCTGTCCCAAAGTGCTAAGGCCCCGGTGCGACCTTGTACGCAGGCTTAGAGACTCCGGGGCCCTAAGACTTCTGGGCTGTGACTCTTAATTTCTTTTTATTTGAGGATTTTACTTGTAAGGACTCCTTCCACCCAAGATGGGGCTCGAACGCACAACCTCAAGATGGCACGTCCTACGGACTGCGCCAGCCAGGTGTCCCTGGGCCATGACTCTTACAGCCACCTCCATATACTAGCAACCACGGAGGCCTGCCCTTGAGGACGGAAATGCAGTCCTGTGGCCTCCAGCTCCACCAGCCTCCCCACCGCCACCACCAGCTCAGTTCTCCAGGTCACACCTGGCGGGGACGTAGAGTCTCCACACAGCAGGACCCTGGCAGGCCACGCGGGCTTGACCTGGTGCCGCCCAGCTCAAGCCGGGAACCACGATGCCATCAGGAAATAGAAGCAACTGGCCCCGGGGCTGGGACCACCATGGGTGCAAGCTCGCTGGCTAATCCGCTCATGTTCCCACACCCCCGACTCCTCAGTCCTCACAGGATGGAGTCTGGCTGCCATTTATACACAAGAGGTGACTGAGGGGCTGCTTTATCAGCCACCTGCTGCTCTGCTCTTCAACCCAAGGAGGCTCCTACTCAGGAAGGACTCTCCTCCTCCTCCCCCCACTGGGAACACAGCTGGCCACTTCTTCTATCTTGGAAGAGGGGCAGGGAGGCAGGGGGATGCGCCCACCCAGGGCCACCAGAGAGGCCGATGGGAAGTGAATTGGGGCCCAATGCACCTGGAGGCCAGTGAGAGGATGTTAGGGCCACTTCCTGCAGATGGCCCCGGGCCCTGAGGTCAGCCCTCCGGACACGTGACGGGATGTAGTGCTGCCCACCTTCTCATCTCTGGGACCTGTGTGGAGGGGAACGTCCCAGGAGACAACCCAGGCCCTGCTGCCCTCTCACCCGAGACTCTTCTCCAGGGGCAGAGTATGTGAACAGTGTCCGGATCACCTATAGAGTAACAGTGGGTTTGTCTGCATGTCTGGGGGAGGCCATCGAGGAGGAGGACGTGCCACGTTGAAACACCCAAGATAGCCAAGCCTCCAGGAGCAGTCTCTGGGTCCAGCTGAAGAGCCTGAGGGAGTCCATGGTGGGTCTCAGCTGCCCTAAGTCTGGCTGCCTCCCGCCCAGGGTCCAGGACGGTTGTCCCCGGGAACAGCACTGTGGCCTTGCTTGGGAGTGAGACCTCAAGGAGACAAGGCCACATGTTTCAGCATCCCCGCTGGTCCACACAGAGTCACCATGACCAGCTTCCAGAGCTGCCTGTTGAGGGCCGACACTCAGACCCGGCTCTCTGGCCTGGCCTGGCCTTCGCTGGGCCTCCAGCACACTGCTTCCTGCTGCAGCTGGATGCCGCCCTCCTGCTGGTGCCCCCCCCAGGTGTCCTCCCAACTCCACAACCCCCCTTCAGCCTGCACCCTCCACCAGCAGATCCTGGGACCCCATTGGCTTCTCCTGGAGTTCAGCAGGCCCCCACCTCGCACGGAGGCTCAGGGCACACGGGATATGGCTGGTGTCCAAACTGACTGACTGGCTCTGCTCCCACGGGTGTCCAGGCCAGGGCCTTCCGAGGATGGACCTCTTCCTTCTCTGACTAGCCAAGGGCTGCTGGTCCTTATGTTCTGCAGCCTGAGCCCAGCGTGCATGGGGGCCACAGGACAAGGTGAGCCTGCTGCGGGAAAGGACTGGCAGAGAGAAGCAGGGCAAGGCCCCATCTAGGCAGGCAGGAGCCGAGGGCAAGGTTCCAGTTAGGAAACTGAGGCAGAAACTGGATCAAGCAGAGGGAGCTGGTTCTTCCACCAGGCCCACCTGGCCCACTGAGCAAAGGGCAGGAAGTTCATTCCAGGCTCTGCCCCCTTGGGGAGGTCCAGGACATGGGAGGTATCAGATCTGGCACCATGGGAGCCAGGAAGGCCGGCCAAGCTGACCCTCCCCAGCGCGACCCCTGTGGTGGCTTCTCTAGGTGGTAGCATTGCAGCGCTCCCCAGCTTGTCCTGGAAAGGCCGGTGGCCTAACCTCTTCTGGGAACCCCTTTTCCCAGGGCTCTATGAGAGAAGGGGTGACTGGCTGCTCACTGCCCACCCTCGTGCCCACCTCCATCCACACAGAGGAGCGGGGCACAGGCACTCCAGGCCCAGACGCATACGCATCTACTGGGTCTGTTTCTCTGGAGAGCCCTAGGGGCTCCTTCCTGGCCTCCTGCCTGCGTGAGTCAAGGAGCCATCTGCCCCCCGCCCCCCGAGCTGGGAGGTACGGAGGGTGCAGAGGTGGTGCCTCTCCCCCAGCAGGGCACACCGAGCCCATGGTGCCAGCTTCTGATCACACCTGTAGAGCCCGTGTGGCTGGAGCTAAGAATGGCCCAGAGCACCGCACTCCTCCCTGGAAGCTCCCTGTAGCCTTGCTCGCTGAGGCCCAGAACGCCTTGCAGGAAAGGGCTCCAGGACCTGTGGGCTGCGGGTGGCGTCTCGATTACACTCAACGAGGACCCTCTAGGGCAGCTGGGGTCCCCCCCAACATGAGGTGACAAAGTTAGAAACAGGCACCGGGTTGGAAACTAATGTATTTCACCTAAAAGGTTGGGGACAGAGTGATAGACTGTAAGTCAGGTCGGGAATGGGCAGTAAGACCCTCAGAGGTCGGAACCACCCAAGGAGCCCTTTCCTCAAATGCCAAAAATAAGGTGTAGTTGACAGCTGTGGTCTGGCCTGGGCTCAGGATGCTTGGGACCCTCTGGTCCTTCTCACACGGAAGAGGCACCCCAAGTGGAGGCTGGAGCAGGGGCAGGGGTGGGAAGGGGTTCCCTCCTCGGCTGGGCCTTCATGGGAGGGGAACTTTGACCTTTGTACCCAAGAAGAGGCCAAACCCCGAGCCAGCGGGCCATGGGGAGTAAAGACCCCCAGGCCTCCTGAGGGCCTCCTGGAGGAAGTGCTCCTGACCTGTCTGGGGGCAGAGGAAGGGGGAGGTTGAGGGTCGGAATCCATCTCGGCGCTGGGCCAGGAAGCGCTCAGCGACTGCACCGGTTCCCATGGGCAGCGATGTGGGCCCTGCCCTGGTTACAGCCCCCGCTGACCCAATGTGACCAAAGTCACGGGCAGTGGGCAGCTACGGGGACACCCCATGTGGCTGGAGCTAAGAACAGCCGGCGCAGGAGTTCCAAGCCCGGGGGTGGGGTGGGGACAGAAGGTGGGGAGCCAGGCTAGCCTGGTGGACACCTCAGTTCTCCTTGCCTGCTGGGGCCAGGCTCTGCGGGAACAGCTTGGAGTGGCCAGAAGGGGCCAGTGAGTGCCCTGGAGAGGACTCCAGCTTCACCTTGTCCAAGATGGTCTTCTTGATGGAGGCTGGTGAGACCTTCTCCTGGTCAGCCATGGACTGCAGCTCCCTGGGGGGGGCAGTGAGGAGTGCTGGCTCCAGGCCTCTGTTTCCCTCCTGAGCCCAAGGGTCCACCAGGGCAGAGGGGGCACCTGGCCACCTGGGTTGCTGTGCTGTCACTCCCGTCTCAGGTCCCCCTGC